TTATCACAACTGTTTCTCAGCTCCCTCGGCTGCTCCCGGTGCTCCAGATCCTGGAGCTCTGCAGAGGGTTGTGCTGACCTAAGGGTAGGACTTGGCACTTGGCCTTAAGTTTTGCCCTGTTTTTCTACAAATAATTTAAATTTGCTTTTCTGCTAGTTTTTGGGCTTTTTTCTTCTTCTTTTTTAATTAAATGAAGCTGGGATGGTTGTTCCCACCTCGGGAAGCGGCAGGGAAGGCAAGACGCAGGATGGTGCTGCCACCTGTGGTTTTAAACCAGAAACAAAAAACAATTCCAGTTCCATCCCCTGCCAGGGGCAGGGACACCTTCCACTGGATCAGGTTGCTCCAAGCTGTTCTTGAACACTTCCAGGAATGGGACAGCCAGTTTTGCAGAAATCTGAAGGTTTTTTGTAAAAAAAAAAAAAAATTAAAAAAATAAAAATTGTGATAAATTTCCATTGTAACAAAACTAGAAACCTCTATTCCTGTTAAGAAAATACCAGAAAAGTCTTTTTTTGATGTGGAAATCCTGTGATTTCCAGATTTCTGCCTTCCAGAATCTGACACACCCTGGGTTTATTTACTTTGGTGGTGTTTTGGTTTTTTTTTAACTAAAAACCCTGAGACAACAAACAAAGGAGCTCCTTATTTAATTTGGTGCTGACTGAAATCCCCAAAGCAGATGACCCTTTTCTGATGTGCATTCACTTTGACCTTCTGGTTTTGGAACATTATGTTGATAAATCAGTTTTCCATCAGCAAAAAAAAATGCACAAATTACAGGAAGCCTTAAATTTCTGTAAGAACCTATGAAAACTTACTGATAGCTTTCATCTGAATCCTCTTTTTTTTTTTTTTTTTTTTTTTTTTTAAATACATCTGCAGATATATAGAGAGCTGAAAGCTCCTTTTCACTGAAGCACCCAGGAGAAAGAAACCACTACATTCACACACTCCTTTTGCTGTTCAAAACTGTCTACAGACAAATACTCAGATTCTTGTGAGCTTTATAAACATAACCTCCAGATTTCCTGGTGAGCAGTGATCATTCAATGGCTTTGCTGTGCCTGATCTTCCCAGAACAAAGTATTTTATCAACTGGTTCAGTCCTCGGTTTCATCTCCAAAGCAACTCCAAATACAGTCAGGAAAATGATCATCCAGCCTGGAATCCCTGTCTAATGAAGTGTTCTGCAGGTAGCAAGTCAAAACAGTGTCCTAAAACTGAAATGAGATTATAGTTTACCTTGTGCTTTGCAAGTCCTTGTCACTGGGGTCTTTCACACCCCTTAATCAAAATCTCTGTGGGACAGAGATTTGTACCCACAATATCCAGTATAAAGGAAAAAACTATTCTTTAATGGCATCCTTAGAAAGTTACACTGTGTTCTGAATGAGAATTATTACGAATATTATTTCATAGAGTCCCAGAATGGTTTGGGTTGGGAGGGACTTTAAGGATCATCTCGTTCCACCCCCTGCCATGGGCAGGGACACCTTCCACTACCCCAGGGTGCTCCAAACTGGCCTTGGACACCTCCAGGGATCCAGGGGCAGCCACAGCTTCTCTGGGCAACCTGTGCCAGGGCCTCCTCACCCTCACAGGGCAGAATAATTCCCTGAGGACTCCTAATTAATTCCCAGCACATGCAGCAAGGGGTGGGGAGGATGCCTGGATGGGGCTGTGAAGGATCATCACTTGCCAGCTGTTTTTTTTTTAAACTGAATTCCTAAAAGCACAGAGGCCTCTGTCTGTAAATCTCGCTCCTTGACCCCATATTCCCAAGGGATGAATTGCAGGAACAGACTCAGAACTCCCCAAAAAGCGCATCCTGTGCGACTCTGCAGCAACAGAAACGCTCTGAGCTCAGGCAGCCTCGGTGCTAATCCCCAGCTGGCAGGTTGTCAAGTCACAGCACAACCTTCAGGAGAAACTATTCCTTCTGTGTGATTCAGAAATAAAACATCCTCGTGTTTTGGAAGGTTTTCTGAGGCTGGAGACATCTCTCACCTTGCAGGTGGTGCTGTCCCAAGATACTGCCACCAAGGGACTGGACTGGCAGTTTCACAAGAACAAAGTGGGGGAGAGTTGTACTTTTCCCCTTTCTTTTCCTTTCCTCCTCCTTACCCAGGACAGGAATTTCTCCCTGCTCCTTCCCAGCTGTTGCTGCAGATGCTGAACCCCAGCCCTGCTGCCATTCCTCCCCCTGCCTGTCTCTGCAGCACTGTCTGCTCACAAGAATTGAAATTCCAGCTAAATATCCGCCTCAAAATTTCCCTCCTCCGCTGCTGCAGAAGAATTCCAGGATGACACTCAGCAGCAGAATAATGAGGATCATTCTCCCTGCGTTTGCACAGCCCACGAGATTCCTTCCTTCAGGACAGGAAGGAAAGTCCCGTGGCTGAGGACAGGAGAGGGAACCACGAGTTCAGCCCGTTTTGGTTTTCCTCTCGTGGGCTCGGCAGCGACATCCCCAGGGCAGCTCCTGCACACATCAAAAGGCAGGATCCAGGCAGGCATTCAGAAAGCAGCCCCAAAATATAAAAAATTTCCACCAGTGGCCTCCAGCCTCCCAGTTTAAACCCCAGCTCTGCAAACACTTCCCGCAGAACTCCAAACATTTGTGTCCCGGCTTTTGGCCGGCCCTCTGCCAGACGTCAGCAGAGCCCAGCTGGAAAATCCCAACCCTCATCCAGCTGTTTTTCTCCTAACCCCACACGCAGAACAGGATCAGCCTCAGCCCCACAAGTGCAGATGGGACTCATTTCCCACGCAGGGCACTGAGCTGCTCCTTTGCAAGTCCCAGTTCAAGTCTTGGACAGAGAGTGGAGCTGGAGAAAGCAGCAGATCCTGGGAAAACATGGGTTTCCTAATGAGGCCTTTTCCAGGCTGGAAACCTCAATTTATCCATCTGTGGGCATCTATAACCTCAGACAAGTGAGATTTTCTGATCTCTGCACAAGATAAGTGGTTCTGTCATTTCCTGCAAGCTGCTTTTTGAGTGCTCCAAGGAACAGTCCTCCCTCCAAGTCCTCCCGAGGATTTAACACCCCTCACCTGGCTGAGCACTTCATGTCACCCACTCAGTTTTAGTCACTGGGACTTTCTGAACTTTAATAGGAATTCTCCTTTTCGCTCATCCAGGATGCACTGGGGGTCTGCACGCCCAAATATCCGAAGGTCCAAGGCTTGCAAGGACCTAAAAGCTGCAAGAGCTGTGGGAAAGCTTTGGCCAGAAAGTGGCAGCAGCAGGCAGGAGATTGCTCTGGGACACGCGAGGTTACAGCTCCGGGAGAAACACTTCCCTCCCAAGGAGTTCACGGGCATTTTTAGAATCACAGGATGGCTTGGGTTGAAGGGATTTTAATCTTGCTCCACGCTGTGCCACGCCTTCCACCAGAGCAGGTTGCTCCAAGCCCCACCCAACCCGGCACTGAATGGATGTGCAGCTTTTGGGCAGACCGTGGGGATACAGTGGGACATGGAGGAGCGACCTCGGAGGGGCGGGATAAAGATTCTCTGTCCCTGGGATGGAGCAGGACGTGCAGCTGTGCCGGCTCGGAGCGGCTCCTAACGAGGTGCTGAGGGAGAGGAGTCAATAGAAGGTGCTCTCCTGTCACGATGTTTTGTGGGTTTCTATTTCCCCCAGGACTGTCTGTGCACACCACACGGCCTCCCTCGGAAAGAGAGGAGCTCTGCAGCTGTAAAATATTAATAATATGGGTTTCCAATCCAGTAATGCCTTCCTGAGACACTGCAGAGCTGATGAGAGCTGATAATGTTCGTTTTCTCTGCAGTGCATTATCTGGCTGGAGCAGCCCTGCTTGGGAGGACAGCTCAGGGTCACTTGGGCACAGAGGGCATTGGGACACGCTGGTTTGGCTGCCTCCTGCTCAGCAAAACGTATCTCTGCCTGCCAGAGCTAATAAAGTGGTTGTTTAATTCTTGTTTAATGAGCTTGTGCAGGGGAAGCAGATAACCTTCCCTTGGGAAACATCAAGTCCCTCTGCCCAGCGTGTCCTGTGGGTTGTCCTGTCCATCAGACCCCAACAAGGAATACCAGGTGGAAAAAGCGGCTGTGCCTTTCTCTGCTCTTGCTGCACCTGAGTTGGAAACTGTCCCATTTGGGGATTTCATCTAAGAGCTATTTGGGATGAAAAGAGAACAGGGAGCTCACCTAAGGTCTCTCCATCTCCCTTGATACTTTATGTTCCCCTCAAATGTGACTTTGCAGCTGTCCTGGTCTCCAAGCTGCAACTTTATGATATCCAAGCCTGAATTTGTCCTGGAAAACCTCAGCTGTGTTTGTACACCTGTTGGCAGCTGAGGCAGCCCATGACACCCGTGTTCAAGGCAGTCCTGAGAGAGCTGGGGGGCGTTCTGCATGTCCTCACTCCCTGCCTCCCAAATTACTCAGAGCCGGGAGGAACCACCAGCAGGATCCTGCCCTGGGTCTCCTGGCACCTGGGACTGGAACTGGGCAAGCTCTGAGATCCCTCCAAACCCAAACCATTCCATGATTTTATGATCTCCCTGCAGCACAGAGACGGCCAGGGCCAGGGCCAACTCCATCCGTGGTACCTGGGCACACACAGGTCACATCCCAAAACACAACCCAGACATCCAAAGGCACCAGGAGAACCCCAGAGGGAGGAATCCCGGGTTTTCTTCGCAGCTTTCACTGGGGCCACCTGCTTGTGAGCCCCGTTTGTCCTCTGGAACAAAAGAGCACTGGGGAGACCTGTTGAAATCAATCATCCGGGGTTAGATGAAGAAAGTTTCCCTTTCACAAATCCCAGAATTGCCCCACAGCTTCAAAATGTAGGGGAATAAATGCAGATGAAGCGAACTGAGTCAGAAAACGAATGCAAGGTAAATGCCCTGGAGGGATGGGACCCTCGCGGGGAGGGGAGAGGGGACTGGAGAAGGAGGATGGAGTGAAAGCCGAGACCAGTTTGGACTGGGACTGTGCGAGCAGCTCCCACAAAGCCCTGGGTCAGCAAACCGCACGGGCAGCGCCGTCGGTTTGGGATTGCAAAGCAATCCGGGAGGAGGCAAAAGCAAAAATAAAAGAAATCCTCTGGAAAGGGATTGCAAAAGTTTCAGCTGAAAAGCGTGCCCCGGTTTTTGAGATTGCAGCCGAAGCCCCACCTCCGCACACCCATTCCCACCTCCAGCCCGGCGAGGAAAAGTGGTGAATGGTCCCAGCAGCTGCTGGCAGAGGGAAAACTTTCGCTCCCAGCGCAGTGGGACCGGGATCAGGAGAGTCCTGGAACTGTGAGTATGGCAGCACCTGCTCGCTGCGAGGCGATGCTGCGGTCCCGAGCTCGGGGGCTGCCTCCCGGCTTTTGGGGTTGGGAAAGGTGAAGTTTCTCAAGCTGCTTTTTTTTTTTTTTTTTCCTCCCGGCTTGTTTTGCAAGACTCCTTGAGCCGCCTGGGCTCGGGAGCTGGATTTTCCCAGCAACTTAAAAGGTGAAGGGGGAAAAACCAAGGAGTGGTTACGCGCCTGTTCCCTGCCCGCTTTCCGCACGTGTTTTGCCGCTTCCTCTCTGTGCTTATTTATTTCTGCTTGGTTTGTTTGTTTGTTTTCCCGTTGGGGCAGCTCCACTTATTTCTCCCTTCGCAGGGAGTTTTTCCCAGTGCCGCGCTGGGTTTCTTGTAAAGTTTTGCTGCTTCTGTTACGGCAGCGCCTCTGCCCAGCCCGGACCTCGTGGAGATGCCAGGCGGGCATGGACGTGAGCTGTCCCTGGGCTGGCACAGGGGCACCCTGGCCCAGCCGAGGCTTCTCCAGCAGTGCATTGCTTGGGAGGGGAGCCGATCCGCACAGTCGTGGAATGGTGTGGGTTTGGAGGCACCTCAGAGCTCTCCCAGTTCCACCCCGGTGCCCGCAGCAGGGTCAGCTCCCACCAGAACTTCCCAGCGATCCAGGGCAGGATCCTGGTGGCGGTTCCATAAGGGTGACCTCCTGGCTCTGAGTAATTTGGGGGCAGGGAGCAGGAAAGGGTTTAAGTCCGGGAAAAAGGGGGAAGCCTTCGTGGTGCTGTGCAGGGAATCTGGGAGCAGCCCAGAGCCCACGGTGCGGGCTTTAACCTGGGGACAAGCCCCGTGTTCAGGGCTGAGCTTCTCCGTGGGACGTGGTTAAAAATAGATCCTAAGCCCCCTTTCTCCGTGTTCCCTGACTCCCAGTTCGGTCCAAGTGGTTGACTGAGGGTGCTGGTCTGCCCCGTTCTGCCGCTCGGCAGCACATCCCGATTTTATCCCGAACCTGCTGCGTGTGCCCTGGATTGAGGGGGATGGAATGTTTGGCATCTCGAGCCGTGAGGTGGCTAAATGTGGACTTGAGGGATGGCTTGGGAGCTTCATTACCCATCTTTAGCCCCCAGGGTTTGGAAAAGTTCGTTTCCTAAAGAGATGGAGGAGGTGTGTGGGACACAGCAGGGGATGGGGGGAATTTCTGGCTTGAAACACGATTCAAAGACCGCGAGGCTCTGAAATGTCATCTGGGGGAAACTGATAGTGAGAAATCCCGGGACAAGCTCGCTCCCAGGGATGCAGGAAAGGGCTTGTTGCTGTCAGGCAGCTTGGCTGGGGCCAGATGTGGCTCCAGCTGCAGGCCTGGGGACTTCCAGAAAATAATCTCCATTTTCACTGGACTTTCTTGAACCCGTCTGAATGTGCCAGCCTGGAATTGCCTTGGGAGTGAGCAGGAGATGCCTGTGGCAGCAGAAAGAAAAGAATGATACAGATGACTCCCATGATACAGATGAATTTGCAGTCCATTCATATCAAATAATAGGAGAAGGACATGAATTAATTCCCCCTGCTGCCCAGAATATCCTGTGCCAGCTCCAGCCTCCAGTGGCTGCTCTGAACTGGGGCTTTGCTCCTTGTCCCAGCATTGCCCCAAAATGTCACCAAGTCTCTCCTGCCCACAGTGTTTCCTCCTGCTCTCTGTAAGCAGCTCCTCTCTTGCTGACTCCAGAAGTTTCTCACTTCCTAAGCTCTGCTCAGTTCCCTTTCATGGCAGCAAGCATTTCCCTGTTCCTGCTCTTCCATCCATCCCTCTTGTGTGCAGGTGGCTGGCAGCGTTCCCAGCTCCTGGGGAAGCAGATCTTACTGGTCTCCCCCAGACTTTTGGGGATGCTTTGCTTGTTTATCTCAGGGTTAGTGTGGAAGGAGGAAAAAAAAAAAGCTGCCCTTGGATGTCCCATGGACAGAAAAGGACAGGAAGCAGGTGAACTGGAGTGTAAGTGCTCCTCGTGGAATACTCAGCATTTGTTGGGGAGCAGGCCCTGGCCCTGGGCAGAACACACGTGCAGATGGAGAATCCTGGGTTTGTTGGGATGTGGGGTTTTTTTAAGATATAGATAACACATAGCAAACATCCTTTGGATTGCTCTGGGAAGCCTCAGCTCCAGGGAGCTGCTGTGGTTTCCACTAGGGTTGTGTGTTCCAGGCACGAGGCTTTAGCAGTGGCTCCTGCTCTTCATTTTGCAAGAACTTCCCCTTCTAAAAGTTAGTTTTTTTCACTGGAATGGCTGCATCTGTCACTCACTGGAGCCACTCTGGCTCTGCCTGTTTCCTCCAGCTGCTCCAGGCACTGCCAAGTCTTGCAGCTTTTCCAAAGGACTCAAAAAATTCCCTGTTTTTCTCATTTTCTTCACTCCTGTCCAAGCAGCAAGAAAGTACAGAGGAAGAAGAAATATCAGGAAGGTATTTATGGTGTATAAAGCCCCAAATCAGGAAAACTCTGTTTTGGGATCAGACTTGTATTTTCAGGTGTTTTTCTGTAGAGCCAAGCACTGCCTGCAGGCTGTGGAGAGGCAGGTGTCTTCTGGGGAGCAGGCTCTCCATACTTCATTCATCATTTTAACTCCTATCCAGGGGGTTTCAGCTGCTGGACTAATTCCCTGCCAAACACACAGGAGGTGTTGCTAAAATAGAATATCCCCACTGAGGGCACCAGGCGTGGCTTTTCTGTAGCACTCACCACATCTGTCCGTCCCCAGCAGGAGCAGGTTCAGCATCTGGCACAATCCAGAGGAGAGGGCCGACTTTTTTATTCAATATCCTGCATTAAACCTTCCAGAGGAGGAGTAAAACTTGGAGAGCTGTGAGATCCTGCCCTGGCAAATGTGTCACACGTCCCCGAGCCGAGCTGCTCTCAGAGATACAGCACAACTGCCAGCACAAGCAAACCCAGGGGTCACAAGGGCAGGAGGGGCAGGAGGTTTAATGGGATGCTGCTTGTGCACAGAATGGGATTCATCCCATGAAAGCTTGGGAAGCAGCAGCAACACGGTTGAGCTTGAGCAGGGGGTCTTGGGGAGGGGGCAGACCCGGATGGCTTCCTAGCCCTGGGCAGATCTGGAGGCAAAACTGAGCAAGTGATTCATGGAATTATGCAATTCCCAGCCTCGCTGCTTATGTAACTGCACAGCACCTCCCTCGGCTGGAACCTCTGCCATTCCTTCCCTCTCCAGTGCTGCCTTTGTGTGCTTTACACTCTGGAAGGGAAAGTCACCCCAGCCCAGTGATGGGAGTGCCTTGCAAGGATGCAGGAATGGAAGGAGAGCGGCCTTGGGAAGGGTTTGGGGGATGAAAAGCTGGACATGACCTGTTCATGTGCTCTGGCACCCAGAACCCCCCTGTCCTGGGTAGATCCAGCAGGGCAGGGGGGGGGGATTCTGCCCCTCTGTCCCCTCAGGTGAGACCCCCCTGCAGAGCTGCTCCAGCCCTGGGAACAACAGCACAAGGACCTGGAGCTGCTGGAGAGAGTCCAGAGGAGGCCCCAGAGCTGCTGCCAGGGCTGGAGCCCCTCTGCTCTGGAGCCAGGCTGGGAGAGCTGGGGGGGTTCCTCTGGAGATGAGAAGGGTCCAGGGAGACCTGAGAGCCCCTTGCAGGACCTAAAGGGGCTCCAGGAGAGCTGGAGAGGGACTGGGGACAAGGGATGGAGGGACAGGACACAGGGAATGGCTTCCCACTGCCAGAGGGCAGGGATGGATGGGATATTGGGAAGGAATTGTTGGCTGTGAGGATGGGCAGGCCCTGGCACAGGTTGCCCAGAGAAGCTGTGGCTGCACCATCCACAGGGGATGTTGTGAGAGGTCCCATCTCTGTTTTGGTGCCACCAGGTGAGCTCCAGCTCCTTCACCACATCTGGAGCAGGTAAAGACCCTTCCAAGAAGGGCTCCAGCTCCTGGCAGGGTGTGCCAAGGAGGGAGGGAGCTCTGTGAGACCTGGTCACAGAGATGGGGAGGAGGGTTTCATCCTTCCCAAGTCATGGGGGTCAGGGCTGGCAGGCACCTGTGGAGAGCAGCCAGTCCTGCCCTGTGCCAGAGCAGAGCTGGAGCCTCTGCCTCATCGCCTCTGTTTGCATGCCATGGGTTTCAACACCAGTTTTCCCCTTTCTTCTAATCTTTTAAACTGAAGTAACATTGTTCCTTTTATCTAACTTCTTCTAAGGTTTCTGGGATGTGTCATCCCAGCCCATTTCTCCTTACAGGGAATCACTGAGCTGGGCTAATCTCATTTTCACTTTCTATCTGCCAGTTTGTTCAAGGCAGACACATCTTTTTGAGCACATCCACCCATCTCTTTGTTCCTCCCCCAGTCTTTTTTTCCCAGGGAGGGCATGGTGTGTGTCCACTGTTCTTTTCCTCCTGTTGTGTTGCCTCTTTCCCCCGCCACGTTTTCCGAAGCAGCTTCCCCTTTAACACAGGCACGCTCATAAATACACACACTGACGCCATCCCAGCTTTACTGCCAGTGAATGAAAATTATCCTGCAGGAGGAAGACAGATTAGGGAATATTTGCTGGCATTTCAAGTCCCCTGCTGGGATTTAATTTGCTGTGTTACATTTGCTGTTATTTACTCGTGCTCCGCTGAGCCCAGCGGGTGCTTTTCCTTGCTCAGCTGGCGGGAGCTGCCATTAATAAAGCCATTGGATAGATTGATGTCCTTGGGAATGGGGACAGGAGGCTGGTGGCACCGAGCCTGGTCCCTCGCTGTGGCAGCCAGGGCTGTTGTGCAGGTCCCAGAGAAGCTGGGAGAGGTTTGGGGGGGGATTTCTGCTGCCCTGGTGTCAAGGAAAAGAGCAGCGTGGGGACAAGTGGAGCACCTTAATCCGTGCTGCAAACGTTTGTGGGATTATCCCAGGTATGGGCATGGAATGACAGGACAAGGGGCAATGGCTTCCCACTGCCAAAGGGCAGGGTTAGATGGGATTTTGGGAAGGAATTCCTCCCTGTGATTGTGGTGAGGCCCTGGCACAGGTTGCCCAGAGAAGCTGTGGCTGCCCCTGGATCCCTGGAAGTGTCCAAGGCTAGGCTGGATGGGGCTTGGAGCAACCTGGTAGAGTAGAAGGTGTCCCTGTGGGTGGGATTGTGTGGGCTTTAAGGTCTCTTCCAGCCCAAAGCAATCTGGAATTCTGTGATCTTTCATCAGTCCTCTCTCTCTGCTCTTTCTTAACATCGCTTTTCCCCTTGGCATCATTGTTTTCAGCATGACTTTCTCTACACACATTTGGAAAAGCCCTGCTGGGAGGGGTACCAGGGTGGTGGGGGGATAGTTGAACTGTTTTCCATCTGTGTTTATGTCCCCAGGCTCTGCACAGATGGGGGTTATTCCCCTGCTCTGCCTCTTTGCAGTGAGGAGATGTCAGGCAAGCAAGGCTGGAACCAATGGCAGTGTTTTATGGCATCACTCAGTGTGGGACTGAGCTGCTGCCCCTCCAAGCTGAGCTCCCTGTGCCCACTCCAGCCCGGGTTTGTCATGCCAGGCCCTGCCTATCTGAGGGCTGCAGTGACCCGAGACAGAGGTGGGGAGAAAACAGGGCTTGAGGACAAATCCTTCACCAGCAGATGGATCTTTGCTGTCTGAACAACCATCCATCCATCACCTTCCCTGGGTGTCTGAGTGTAAAACCCATGTGGAGCTGCCACCAAGCCCTTGCACTGGCAGCATCAGAGGTGACCCCTGGTGACACCTGGCCACCTGCTCATCACCCCACCAGGCTCCCAAACACACCAGTTGGGCATGGAAAGTCCCTCTTTGATTTATGGGAGTGGCACCTCTGCCCTGTAAGTGGGGGAACATATCCCTTCCCATCTGTGTCTGCCAGAGCCTGGACCAGGGTCAGCTCCCTCCTTACGGTGCCTCAGACGCCCAAAAATGCTTTGCAAAATGCCCCAGCCTTGGGAAAAGTCAACTCCTGCTGTCCCAACCTGCAGCTTCTGCCTGTCCCAGTTCACCCCCTGCTCCCCAAACACTTCTGGCAGGTAGATGGGATGGTATCTATTCCCTGACTTGTTCCTGGGGAAGCTGAGATGGGAAGTAGCTGGCTCTGGGGTTGGAGACTTGGGCCATCAGGGAGCTGAGGGCTGCACATCTGATACAGGCAGGTGTGTCCTCCCCAATCCCCTTGTTTTTTCTCTTCCTGCTCTCTCTTTCCTCTGACCTGGGGATACCTTCTGGGATTTACCATCTCACCCCCCCTTTTCCTCCTTCCCCAGCCCACGGCACTGATCCCGTTCTGCCTCCTTCCTGCAGAGGAGCAGATTCACTCACACCTCTTGACCTCACCTGGGAGAAACTGCACTGAATGAAAATTAGCCTTCTTTCCACCCAGAGGTGGAGAAAAACGTGGCTCTTGCCAAGCCAGTGCCATTCCCAGACGATGCTGCCACAACTGGGCTCAATCCAGCCAAAGGGAACTCAGACTGACCTGTGTGTGCTTCTCTCTTCCTGCAATTTTTTTTTTTAAAAAATCAGTTAAATCTTATCTGCCTCTTTGTTTGATCTGCTCGTTGTCCTTTGTGCTGGATCAAAGTACTTTTCTGCTTCCTCCCATTGTGGATGAATGGCATTAAACACGTTTATTCTCATTCTGAACTGCTTGGGCAAAGCTGTGCAGCGTTTGAGATCCCTGCTGAGCATTTCCCCTCGGGAAGCAGCCACATCCCCTCTTCCACAGGTAAAACACTGGAAGCAGGACACCTCAGTGGAGTGAGGGGGAGATGGGTGGGATGGATGGAGCCAGACCTGGCTGTGCCTCCTTGGCTGCTGACAGATGGTGCAGGTTGTCCTTGATCCAAAGGCCATCCCTGGGGAGAAGAAGAACTGAGTTCCTCCAGAGCAGTGTGGGAAATCTGGGGACATCTTTTACCCCCTGCTTGGGCAGGGATTAGTGAAAACGTTTCTAACTGGTGCTTTCCAGCATTTTCTTCTCCCAAGAAGACTCTGAGAGCTGATTATGGAAGAGCTTGGACTAATCTCAGGTGTTAAAGGGTGGGTTAAAGGATGCACACATTTAAAGCAGGGCCTGGAAAGGACAGGTGGGAGGACTAAAATACTCCAACACCCCTTGGGATTTGTGGTTTGCAGGTCTAAGTAAATGCATGTTTGGTGAGGAGGCCTGGCAAGGACATTAACACAGTTAACCAGGGCATTAAACCTACAGTGCTTCCCAGCTCCATGAAGTCCAGGCTTAGGCTCCTCTGGGCATCCTCTCTTTGGTTTTCCACCCTTTTCCTTCCCACTGTGTCATCCCTGAGCTTTCCAGGGGCTCAGTGGCTGTAATTAATTCCTCCCAGCCCTCTTCCAGAGCCAGGATATCAGACCCCCTGGGCTGGAGCCCAGGCAGGTGCTTTTGCTCCAGCACTGCTGAACCCTCCAGGGGTTCAGGAGAGCTCTTTGTGGCCGCTTTAATTTATGATCAAATTCACTTTATTGATCCCACCCCGGATTTTGTTGCAGCAATATCTCTTGAAATGGGGCTGAGGGCAGCAATTGCTTTGTGCAGAGGGTGGTGTGGAGCTCATAACTCAGGGATGAGCAGGGCCCCTCTGGAATTTACCTCTCCTGTGCACTGTGCTTAAGGCTTTATAAACATCACAGTTTAAAACAGTCTCCTCCTGCTAGAACTTACATCAACCCCTGCATTTGCTAATTTGTTTGAGGCTACGGGTCCTCGCTCCTTTGCTTCCCATCATGGGGGAAATGGAATTACACGAAATAATAATGGAGAGCCTTTCACCCCATTTGCCTTGGTGCTTGCAGAGATGAAAACATCTATTGGAGTGTGCTGAATTGAAAGCCTAATGGCTTTAACGTGCCTCCAAACAATGCAGCTTCCTGAGTGGGAAGCCTGAAATTCCAGCATGGGCCACTCAGGGAGCGGGGAGTGAGGGTCCAGAGAGCAGGGAAGGAGGTAAACAGTGCAGGGAAGGGGGTGGGGTGGCTTCCCACCCTGTTTCTTTACATTGTTAAATTCAGGTGCCCATTTCTCCAGCCCATTTACATCCTTCAGTGCACTCTTCCCCTTGGATGCCTGTTTCTCCAGCCCATTTGCTCCCTCAATGCCCTTTTCTCCTTCTCACTGAGATCCCTCTGCATGCCAGTTATTCCAGCCCATTAAGGTCCCTCAGCGCCCATTCCTCCATCTCTTTGAGACCTCTCTGGATTCCCATTTCTCCAGCCCCACTGAGATCCCTCAGTGCCCGTTTCTCCAGCCTGGTGAGGTCCCTCTGGACGGCAGCACAACCATCAGCTTTGCCAGTTGCTCCTCCCAGTCTTTTTTCTGCGCTTTTCTACCTTGCACTCTGCCCCCTCGCCCGGGTCATCGTTCAGGATGTCAGATTACCCCAGATAACGTTTATACCTCTCGCCCTCGGTTCTGTGGCACAGCATTCAACCTCCCAGGCCTCCTGGTGATCGGTGTTTTGCAGGGCTGCTTTTGTTGCTTCGGGGAGGAATGAAACCCAGGAATAATTAGCGGTTTCTCGTGCTTGTTGCGTGGGTGGTCGCAGAGCACAACAACATCTCGCCGTGCTGAGCAAGGGCGATTCGGGCAGAGGAACTGAGCATTGTGCTGGGTGATTTATTTTGGCAGGCCCAGCAGGATGACGAGCACGGCTCCCAAGAGCAGCTACCCGGATCCGACGCGGAAAGCGCTCTGCAGGAGCCCCTTTCTGAGCATCAAGGTAAACGTGCTTCCTGTGATTATCCTGCTTCCTGCAACACCCCCTCGGGGTTCCTGGCCTGGCAAAGAGGAGCTTGGCCTTCTGCAGGAGGCCTTGAGAGGGTTTCTGATTACCAGGTGTGTTTGGAAAGTTTCCCGTGTGCTTCCTGTGGCAGAGGCACCGTTTGATGTGGAGCTGTCTCCATCCCCAAGTGAGTGGTGGGACAGCAAGGTTGAAATGCATATTTAACTTCCAGGTTCTGCAGTATTTAACTTCATGGAAGCACAGAATGGTTTGGGTTGGGTGGGACCTTAAAGCTCATCTCATTCCACCCCCTGCCATGGACCTTCCACTATCCCAGGTTGCTCCAGCCTGGCCTTAGACACTCCCAGGGATGCAGGGGCAGCCACAGCTTCTCTGGGCAACCTGTGCCAGGGCCTCCCCACCCTCACAGCCAAGAATTCCTTTCCAATATCCCATCTAACCCTGTCCTCTTTCATATGGAAGCCATTCTTCAAACTCTTGTGGCCTCCTGGACTTGGTGCAACCCCAGGTCCTCCTGGTGAATGCTTAAAGAGCTCTGCAGAACTACAGGCTGGACCTGGGGTGGCTCCCTCTGTCCTGCAGCATCTGCTTTGTTCCCTTTTGGCTCAATAATTGCGTTTTATCAGTAATTAACAACATTAATTAACTACTACACTCAGTGTAGTTGGAAGCCAATTGCCTGGCTTGTTAGAGAGTCTCACCAGCCTGTAGAGCAAAAGGTGACAGCTGGTGTTAAAGGCTTAAGATGTCTCTTAAGTGAGACTTGTTTTCACCCCCCAGGGCAGAGCTGACCATGCATTATCCTCACACAGTTATCCTCAGCACAGGATGTTTTCCCCAGATCTCTTGGTTTTTTTTTTTTTTTCAAGAACTTAGGTCACCCTGTCCGGTTTCTAAATGACTTCCTCAGAAAACAAAGCTTCCAGCGCAGGGTTTCAGTGGCTCTTGCAGAAGCACAAAACCAAATTGCACAATGTGGTTTATGTGTTTGAAGTGGCTTGAGGACCAAAAATCACAGCCCTGCAGTTTGTACATGTATTTATATCTCCAGAGAGTGTGTCACAAAAACTGGTTGCCACGTGTCAAAATGCAACTGGAGGGCATAACTAAAAACTGGCTTGTTTTGGCTTCAAGGAAAATTAAAATTGAGATAAGATATTGGGAAGGAATTCCTGGCTGGGAGGGTGGGGAGGCTCTGGCACAGGTTGCCCAGAGAAGCTGTGGCTGCCCCTGGATCCCTGGGAGTGTCCAAACCCAGGCTGGATGGGGCTTGGAGCAACCTGGGCTGGTGGAAGGTCTTTAAGGTCCCTTCCAACTACACGCCCAACCAAACTGGTTTGGATTAAACTTGGACCAGGCTGGTTCCTCCCAGCCCTATTTTCTGTAAGCACAGCCCAGTGCACAGGGGTTTATCATGTGCCAAGGCACAAAACCCTTCCTTAAAATAGCAGCCAAAGTCTCCCAAACACATGGAAGCAGCGTGACAGGGACTTCCCTGTGTCAGCTGGGGCAGGACAGTGTGTGCAGCTTTCAGAGCCCTCACGGGGAGGATTTGTTGCCAAACTGCACAGCCAACACTGGAAACACGTGGAACCTTTGTAAGGTTTTTGTTTTTGACCACCAAGAGAGAGGAGATGTTGGTGTTTAATCCCCAGGTCTGCAATTTACTGGCTGCAGACTGAGCGTGTTTCTCTGTTCTCTCACAACATGTGGGGTGGGAGCAGCAACACCTCACCAGCGTCATGCAGGGCTTAGCAGAGCAAAGCCTGCAGGAATACACTAAAAATTCTCTAGAAAAGCAGAAAAGCAACAAATTTGATCAGAGAAGCTCCCCCTTGGACGTGTGGCAGAGCAGACAGGCACTTATCCCAGAGCTGGCTGAGGGGGGTGTGGGCAGTGGAGGAGGTTGCTCTGCACCCTGGCACTGCAAGGGGGTTATTTTTGGTACCAAGCACCCCCTGTCCCTACTCCAGGTGTTTGGTGTTACCTCAGCACAGGCTCTCCTATTAATGCTTCACAGATGTTTATTTTAAAAAGCCATTTCGAAACCTCTCCCTTCCTTCCTCCTCAGCCTACGGAAGTGCTCCCGTGGATTCTCCGAGTTGTTTTAATTCTGCTGACCTAGAGGGGAGATGTTACAAGCAGGTCTCGTCCCTTCCATGGCAAACAGGTGCCAGATGGCTGAGCTGGGGGTTGTTTCTGGGAGCACCCAGCTCTGGGGCTGCTCCTGGATTTGTTCTGCTGTGAGGACAGAGGATTGGTGTCTGGAGACCCAGGTCAGCTGCTGGGGCAGCCCATCAGACCCAGGCCAGCCCCACCAGTCGAGCAGATCTAAAGGTTATGAATCTGTCCCTTCTCCCTCTGGCAGAAGACCAGCTGTGCTATGCTCTGATGGCTGACAGCAAACAGCCCCTGGAGCCAGAACTGGGGGCCTTGCCCGGTGCTGACCCCAACCCACTGCAGGTCCTTTGCAGGGCCCTCTCTCTTTTCTGTGCTTTTCCCTGCCCGGATGGGAGGATAAACCACCAGATTCTCAACCCATTTTTGACCTCCTGAGCTGCAGAGGATGTGGGGCAGTGGTGAGCAGCTGCTGGGCTGACGTAAACCAGCATGACGTGAAGGTCCTGCATTTGGATGCACACTGGGCTGTGGATGTCTGGAAATAAATGAATCTGGCTTCAGCCTTTCCATTCTGAGCTCATGTGTTCAGGAAACAGAGCCTGGACATCATAGCCAGTGTCTTGGAGGAATTTTAGCAAAGCTGGCTCTGGGGAAGCTTTCCTTTGGCTGAGTGACATCTTCCTGGTCCAAACACGTTGCACCCTTCAGTGGTGACATGAGCCTGGAAGGGGGAAGGTCCTGGATTGTATCCTGGTTTTCATGTTACCCACCCATCACTTGGGGTGGTGGTAACCCCAGCACTGCAGTTCTCAGGGACCCAGGGGGGCTTGAGCATCCTCTCCGTCCCTTTCTGTGCTGGAAATACTCCCCTGGCGGACAGAGCAGCCCAGTTTGGCAGTGATCCCTGATCCTCCAGCCCTGGATCAGGAGGAGATGTAGCAGAAACCCAGGCCAGGCTGAGCAGCTCCTCTGGGTGAGGCTGCCTCGTGGTGGGAGCTGCAGAACACTCAGAGCTGGAGCAGTGCCCTGCTCTGGTCAGCAAGTGGGTAAAGATCTGCAAAAAGCAGTGCCCTGAGGGTTTGGGTATCACCCAAGGCTGAGGCAGCAGATGGTGGAAGGACCCAGAGGCATCCAGCCTGGCCTGCAGTGAGATGGGTGGTCTGCCTCTCCCACGTGTGGAAGGAGATGACTTGCCAGCTCCTTTCCTTTGCTGGGTACTTTGCAGAGCTGTGGATAAAGGGGAGGTCCATCCCTCCCCTTCCCTCCTTGGACAGGTCACTTGGCACTTGGGAAATGCTTCTGTGAGAGGGCCAGGGAGATGGACTGTGCTCTCTGTGGGGCAGCTCGAGCCACGTGTTTCCCTGGGCAGCCCAGCACCTGCACATCCCAAACTCTGGAGGAGATGAGGTCAGATTATCTTCTGGGAAAGGATGGACTTTGGCAAGGTTTCCTTCTGGAAATGGAGAAGAACCATCACATTTTCCGAAGGAGATGTCCTTTACACCCAGGGCTTTGTGAGAGGGAAAGGAAAACAGCCTGAATTATTCTCCCTGACCTTCTCCTGGTTTTCTCTGAAGAAGTTGTTTGTTGCTGTGTTTGGAAGGGCTCATGCCTGTCCCAGGATTGCTCCCAGCATTAGGGGATGGCTGCTGCCTCTGGCTGGATGGGAAGAGGAATTGTGCAACCTCCCACTTCTGCTTGTGGATCTTAGGGACAAGGCCAACACAAACAAGCATCATCCCAACCGAAACAATGTGCCTGTCCAAAGCCACTTTTCATCTGAAGAAATTACACCCTCCTTGCAGATACTGACCCCATTGTTATTTTTGGCAGAGCACTATTTCATGTCCCTATTAATTTCAGAAGATTTCACTGATGGCAGAGCAGGGATAATATTTCAAAGGCTGGTGGTCAAAGGTTTACGTTCACTAACTCCAGCCTTTCTCTGGAGATGCAGTTTGTTGCGCTGCAGCTCTCGGTGACCGTGCTGGATGCTCTTTCCCTTTCTGTGTTGGCAGTTCTTTGTGTTCTGCCACGGGCTCCTGCAGCTCTCCCAGCTCCTGGTCTCGGGCTACCTGAAGAGCTCCATCTCCACCATCGAGAGGCGGTACGGCCTGTCCAGCCGGACCTCGGGGCTGCTCGCTTCCTTCAACGAGGTGAAACCAGCTCTCCCCTCCCGCCCTCCCCCCCACGCTCCCCCTGTTCCCCCGTGGCACCTCTCGCTCTCTGTGTCCTGCTGCAGGTGGGGAACACGCTGCTGATCGTCTTCATCAGCTACTTCGGGAGCCGGGTGCACAGACCCCGTTTCATCGGCGCCGGCGCCATCCTCGTGTCCCTGGCCGGGTTCCTCATGTCCCTGCCCCACTTCCTAACGGGGCCCTATGAGTTTGACCAGTCTGTCGCCAGTAAGTGCTCCAGGAACTTATTTTGGGCCTTTTGGGGGTGGGAGGGGGAAATGATAGGATCCCAGAATGGTTTGGGTTGGACAGGGACACCTTCCACCAGCCCAGGTTGCTCCAACCTGGCCTTGGACACTTCCAGGGATGGGGCAGCCACAGCTTCTCTGAGCAATTTGTTCCAGGGCCTCTCCACCCTCATAGCCAAGAATTCCTCCCCAACATCCCACCCAACGCTGCCCTCTGGCAGTGGGAAGCCATTACGAAATTCCCTTCCTTAGGGAGGCTGGGAGCTGCAAGTTTGTCCTCAAGGAGTTTTATTTTTCTGAGAATGAAACCATCTCAGTCCCGAGAGGCAACAGCTGGTGGTGGGAAGCAGAGCCAGGGGACATGGGAACCATGGAACCACGGGAAAGGGCATGAAAACTGTCAGGCTGTGCCTCTGGTGGTCCTTGCTGTCTGCAGTGAGGGAGTGCTGGTTTCACACCCAGCTTCTCCTGTTCCTCCAGCCTCACCTGTCTTCCCCTGCCTAGCTGAGCTTGAGGGAATGCTTTGAGGTTTTAGACCCCACCAGAAAAATCAACCTCCCATGAGGAACATGCAGGTCTAAGTCACTCATGGAGGGAACAGGCCAGGGTGGATTTGGGATTTTCTCCCTGAAAGAAAGTGAAGGGATGAGAAAAGAAAAAAAAAGGAGAAAAGAGCTTTCCTGTTAACTCCCCAAACCTCCAAATCTGTTGTTCCAGCAAATCTTTTAGATGCTTCCTCTGGCTCAGCAGAGGGAGCTCAGCTGGTTCACACTGAAAGGATCTGTTTGTCCAAAGCCACTTCTCAGCTGAAGAAAGGCATCGCTTTCCAACAGGCACCAGGGGAAGACTTAATAGGTGAATAAGTCATGGCTGCAAGCAGGATGCTAATGACAGTTTGGAAACAATTAGCCACCTCCTGGTGCAGGTGACCCAATGTCTGAGCACTCAGAGTTCCACAGGATTTAGGGGATAACCATGGAAATCCTGCTAAAAGCACCCCCCTCCTCCTCCCACCCAGTATTTTGAGGAAGATAAGGGTGCCAGAATCAGCATTTTCACTTGGTAAGCCTTTTCTGGGTACATGAGTTCTCATTTCTTGAGCAGCTGTTCACAAAATCTGCAGTTTTGCTCATTTACCTTTCTTGGAAGGAATATCAAAGGTCCTGGAAGTGACCTCAGCACCACTTCTTCAGTGGAGATGGTTTCTCATGGCATGTACATCCATCTCTCTGAACATCTGAAGAGTAACCTTTGCACTTCCTTTGGATTTTATCCCATACAACATCTAAGGATAAGATCAGAATGTGGAGCTGCTTCAGCAAGTCCAGAGGAGGCCATGGAAATGCTCAGAGGGCTGGAGCCCCTCTGCTCTGGGACAGGCTGGGAGAGCTGGGGGGGTTCCCCTGGAGAAGAGAAGGATCCAGGGAGACCTGAGAGCCCCTTGCAGGGCCTAAAGGGGCTCCAGGAGGGCTGGAGAGGGACTGGGGACAAGGCATGGAGGGACAGGACACAGGGAATGGCTTCCCAGTGCCAGAGGGCAGGGATAGATGGGATATTGGGAAGGAATTGTTGGCTGTGAGGGTGGGGAGGTCCTGGCACAGGTTGCCCAGAGAATCTGTGGCTGCCCCTGGATCCCTGGAAGCATCCAAGGCCAGGGTGATTCTCTGATCTCCCAAGCCAATACCCACGTGCTCCTATCTTTGGGAAGCTCTTTTTCCAGACCAAGCCCCTCAGACCTGTCCCCCTCATCACCCACAGGCACGTTCAGCAACACCACCGACCTGTGCCAGCCCAGGCCCCCGGCGAACCTCAGTGATGCCAATTGCACCCCCCGAGCCAGCAGGGAGAACCACGAGGTTCTCCTGGTCATGTTCATCGCCCAGGCCCTGCTGGGCATCGGTGGTGTCCCCATCCAGCCCTTTGGGATCTCCTACATCGACGACTTCGCCAGCGAGAGGAACTCCCCCCTCTATCTGGGTAAGGCAGCCAGGATGAGATTGATGGCAAGGCTTCAAGCCTGGACAGACCTCAGACAGAACCTGGAGTGCTGGAAAACATGATTTGAGGGAAATGCTGGGATTTTGGGCCTGAGGGTGATAACCTGCAGACAAGACTTAGTATCCATGTCCTCCTCCAAAAAGGCTTCAGAAAGGCAAAGAGGAATAATCTGATCCCTGTGTTAACAAAAGGCAGCAATGGGTTTAAGGTGCAGCAATGAAGACTCTGTTAAGACATTAAGAAAAATTGTAGGAAGCTAAAAACTAAAAAAAAATCCAAAATTTTAAAAAATTTTAAACATTATTACAAAATTACAGGGAGCATCTTGGAGATGAGAGAGCATCCTTCAGCAGAGGGGTGCTAGAGAACAGCTTGGGCACAGGCCTAGAAGGGATGTCCCAGGGTGGTGGGATGGACAAGATGGTCCTTGCAGGTCCTTCTGCTCCTTTTCTAGTGAATTGAATCGAGTTGAATTGAATTGAATTGAGTTGAATTGAATTGAATTGAATTGAATTGGAATGGAGCAGCAAAGGTGGATCAAACCCAGGTCATCACTGTCAAAAAAAAAATTGAAGTACAGCATCAAATTTTGCTCTGGTGGCTGATTCAAACCCCTGAACCACAGCTGAAAGGATCACATGTAAGGCAGGAGTCGAATCTCACATGTGTTGATATGTTTTTAATCAGTAATTCACGTAGGAGAGTTCACTGATAACTTTTATCTCCTTGACCTTGTAAAGAATCTCGGCGTTTCCCGGATTTCTTATGCCAAGAGGCACATCTTGTTCCTGGTGTATTCCAGTCTTTCTAGGAGGCTGAAGAAGAGTGGCAGGGAAGGTCTGAGCCTTGCAAAACCTTTCCATCGAGGGGAGCATGGGACTGTTGCTCTGTGAGAGGGGGAGATGAGGAGGCTGTCAGGAAAATAGTCTGTGCTGGAGGCGGACACTGAGGAGCCAGGTCCCACCTGGAGGCACCTCCTGTCCCTGTGGTCCTTTCCCACAGGGCTGAGCCCTCTCTGCTCTCGTCCCTCTGCAGGAATCCTGTTCTCTGTGACTGTCATTGGGCCAGGGGTGGCCTTCATGCTGGGCTCTGCCATGCTGCAATTCTACGTGGACATTGACAAAGTCAGCGGAGGTGAGTGGACGTGCCCTGGCAGGGATTTTAGAGCAGTGGGGTCCCTCCCTGTCTTCACTGCTGGTCTGATGCCCCTCTCTCTGTCTGTGTTGCAGCTGAAGTCCAGCTCACCCACGGTGACCCACGGTGGGTGGGTGCCTGGTGGCTCGGGTTCCTGGTGGCAGCCAGCCTGGTGGCTCTGTCTGCAGTGCCGTATTTCTTCTTCCCCCGGGAGATGCCAAAAGAGGTAGGAGAGGTGCTGCAGGTGGGCCTGTTGGCGCTGCACACACACAAACCCCTCATGTTTAAATGCACATCCCTCCCTCAGCAGCAGAAGCTGCTGCATCCATGGGAAACACGAGCAGGGAAGTGGTGGTGCAGCTCAGAGCTGAGTTCCAAAGCTGGAGGGGAGCTTGGTTTGCTCTCATCTCTCATGCCAGAGGCCCTTGTGGTGCTCAGCAGCTTATGGGTGTGATCATTTCGTGGTGGAGCACTGGAGCAGTGCCTGTGTGTTGATTCCTCTGCACAGGAATGTGCAGCAGAGGGAAAGTTCCCTGTGGATTGTGGTCCTTCTCAAAGCCACCCTCCTGGCTCACCTGCAGGTGGGTCTCCTTGTCTTCCCTAGGGAAGTGTTAGATTCAGTGACCCTAGAGGTGTTTTCCAGCCTAAGTGGTTCTGTGATTCCCTGGTCCCTCTCCTTTTGCAAACTCAGGCACAGGCTGGGTGGGGTGTGGATGGAGCCCTGAGGAGGAGGACTTGGGGATGTCAGTGGGTGAGCTGGGATTGTTCAACCAGGAGAAGAGAAGGCTCTGAGGAGACCTCAGAGTCCCTTCCTGTGCCTAATGGGCTCCAAGAGAGCTGGAGAGGGACTTGGGACAAAGGCCTGGAAGGATAGGATGAGGGGGAATGGCTTCCCAGTGCCAGAGGGCAGGGATAGACGGGATATTGGGAAGGAATTGTTGGCTGTGAGGGTGGGGAGGCCCTGGCACAGGTTGCCCAGAGAAGCTGTGGCTGCCCCTGGATCTCTGGAAGTGTCCAAGGCCAGGCTGGAGCAACCTGGGCTGGTGGAAGGTGTCCCTGCCCATGGCAGGGGGGTGGAATGAGATGATCTCTAAAGTCCCTTCCAAGCCAAACCAGTCTGTGATTCCATGATCTCTCTGGGGAGCTGCTGGGAGATGTTTCCCTTCAGGAGGGGCCATATGTGTTCTGCGATATGATCCATCCCAGTTTATAGGAAAGGTGAATAATTCATCAGGAGCCTTTTCTTGGAAGTGGGGTGTCCCCTGGGGGTGTTGGTGATACTGAGGCTGGGGGGTAGTTTGTCTCATTTCCACTGCAAATCCTCTTTTCCATGGGGCTCGGGCTCAGGGGCTGCTCCAACATCCAGCTACACCCACCACCTCTCACTGGGACCTTTTTTGCTGGCCAAAAGGATTTTAAACACTTCCCAGCCCATAAAACAGCCTGGCTCTGTGAAGTCCTTGGAAATAACTGGCAGGGAAAAACCTCCGGCAGCCTGAGCCTGTCGCTGCACGCCCAAACAGCGTCTGTTTGCTCAGGGGAGTCCACTGGTGGGACACTGCTTTGCTCTGTGTTTGCTGCCAGGGATTTTCCTGCTTTGGAGCCCTCCTGAGAGCTTCAGTGCTCATGCCAAGACGGGAAACAACTTGTGAGCTTCCCAAGCGCTTCCCCGGCCGCGGATCCCGGCGTGTCGGGAGGAAGCACAGAACAAACTGTGCTTTTAGGGAAGCGTCATCTCGGGGTTTGGATGCTGGGGAAGCTGCTGGGACACGCTCAGCTGGTGAAATCACGCTCATCTCGATGTCTTGGCCACACTCTGACCTGGGTAGCTGCCTTCCACGTGTTTTACCTCGAGGCAGCATCAAATCTTTGCTGTCTGAACAAGCCCGTGCACTGTCTGGGGTAGAATAATTCTGCCTGAGTTTCCACAGGAATGAGGGATTCTTAGGGAGGTTTGGGGTTTCCCTGCCTGGGAAAATGCGACCTGTTTTACTGGTTAGACCTATGGGGAGGTAATGATTGACTCCTGTGTTACACAGGCCCTGAGGTTTGCAAAGGTGCTGCGAGGCGAGGGGGTGGAAACTGCTCAGCCTTGCAGGATGAGTGTGATCCTGAATTCAACGTGCCTGATTTATCCTCCTGAGGCTTGGATGGCTTTGAAGTCCTTAGGGATAATCAGTATTAGCAGAGCCTGCTCAGGGTACCACACTCCATCTTAGGGGAAAGGCTCTTTATTAGTGCAGAGGGGGAATATTAATTTCATAAATGGCTCTTGAGTGAAAATAATGTACTTTGAACTAAAACAGGTGCATTTTTTTGGCAAGTTCTGCACTCTGAGCCATTCAGAGGAGTTTCAGGAAGGAATGGGTGGATACTGATTTCAAAAGAACAGATTTCACCGCTCCACTGGTTGGGGTTTGTAGGGAATGCTCCCACCTGGCTGAGCATCCACATATCCCCCTGCAGCCCAGATCTTCTTGAATTCCTCCCCATTCTACCATCTCCCTCAGAAAGCCTTTGGAATCTGCTGACAGTTAAAAATAACAACAGGAAAATAGCCTAAGTGAGAGCAAAATCCTGCCTTCCTTGCAGGATGGGAGACTCCAGGGCTGTCCAGGCCTGTCCCATGGGGGTATCAGCACCATCAGCAGCAGGAAGGGGCCCTGCTTACAGATGAGAATAAAAACCTCAGTAGAAACTTTGCCAGGTGCTGTTCTGGGCAAAAAGTGTCTGCTGTGTGAGCACTCAAAGACTTGTTGGAAATCTGCATTGTCACAGATGTTTTGCTGTTTGTACATATATATATATATTTATAAATATGTATCTCTAAAAATATATATCTGTGGATATATAAATCACTTTCTCTTGCTTGCCCTTGGAGTAAATCAGAGTCAGGTTAAGGACACGAGCAGGACAGCTTTTCCATCACAAAGGGCTCTGCAGACAGGCTGGGAGAGCTAGAGGAGTCCAGCCTGGAGGAAAAAAGGCTCCAGAGAAACCTCAGAGCCCCTTAAAGCACCTGAAGGGGCTCTAAGAGAGCTGGAGAGGCCAAAGAAGGCATTGCAGGTGCCCCAGGTCCAGCTGTCCTTCTGGACATGATGATGTGAGGTTGGTCTTCTGATCTTTTTTTCTGAAATCAGTCATTTCAAGCCTGGAATATTTTTATTTCTCTGCTTTGCTACCTGTCAATAAGTTTCTAGCACCAAAGGATCCTGAATAATCCTATTTGAGGGATGATGAGGGCAAAGCTGTGAAGTTGTCATGATCTTAGGAAGGGGATGAGACTGGAGAAACTGTTTTCAGTCAAGAACAGGGTTTTTTTTCCCAGTAATTCCAGTTTAGTCCTGCCTCCCACGAGCCAGAAACATTCCTTGGAGCTGTGTCCTGTACTGTGGGGAACTACAGCATGGAAGGGCTTTCCAGTTGCTGTGTAGTCAAGGCTGAGCTCATGCTTTGCCATCTGTTGCTGTTCTTGTATCCCATCCACAAGCTGGATTGTATTCCCACTGCTCAAGGCATTCCCTGTGCTGTTCCTCTGTCTTGGCAGCTCCGTGGGTGACATGAGAAGGATTTGAAAAGGGGAAAAGTGCTCTCAGCAGCCCCTTTAAACAGAAGCAGGAGTGTTGCCCTCGCTCAGCATTTCTCCTGTGCAAGATCTGTCTTGTCCACCCAAATATCTCCTGGTTCAGGTGACGCTCCAAACACAAACCCAAACATCTGCATGCACTGCCCCTGCAATGTCAGCACCTGGCATCTGCAGACAGATGTCTCTTGATGAAGTTCTGATGGATTGTGTGGGATTTTTATAGGTTTACATGTCTGGTTGTGTCCAAGCCCTGGTTCACTGTCACACAACCCTCTCTGGATATCAGGTCACCCACCTCACCAGGGCTTTCCTATTCTAAGCCTCACTGGTAGGAGGTTTCAAAAACTGATTTCCCTGCATGTTGCAGAGCTCTGTCCAATCTCCAGCCTACATTTCAGTCATTAGTTTGTTGTTCTGTCCCTAATCCTGATTAAATATCCTCCCAGTCATTGCTATATTGGCCTGTAATGGAAAGTCTTCCTCTGGCTGGGTCAGGGAAGCTGCTGATCCTCTGCTGATTCTCCATCCCATCAGCTCTGCTTGTAACCAACCCACCCCATCCACAGGCTGGTTTTCCCAGTGCTGGACCAGCCTGCATCTGGTTTCCAGTGGTGGAGCAGGGCCTGCTGGAAACACCATCTTCAGTTCTTCCTCACTCCTTCCACGGGTCCCCCGTATCCTTGTGCAGAGATGGTCCTGGAGCTGTTTCCCCAGGATTCTCCTCCTCTCATTTCACAGAATCCCAGAATGGTTTGGGTTGGGAGGGACCTTGAACCCCATCCCATTCCACCCCCTAGGGACACCTTCCCCTAGCCCAGGTTGCTCCAACCTGGCCTTGGACACTTCCAGGGATGGGGCAGCCACAGCTCCTCTGGGCAACCTTTGACAGGGCCTGCCCACCCTCACAGGGAAGGATTTTTTCCAAATATCCCATCTAACCCTGCCCTCTGGCAGTGGGAAGCCATTGTCTCTTGTCCTGCCCCTCCAGGCCCTTGCAAAAAGTCCCCCTCCAGCCTCTCTATAGGAACTGAAAATGGGGATATTTCTCTGGAAACCTTCACTCTGTGATGCCTCATTAAAGCTCCTAAAGCACCACCAAAGGCAGCCTAGGAATACAAGGCATCATCTGGGGAGCAAAGAGGGGGCCAAGAGGCAGGACATGGGGAAGGAATGGGCTGGTCTCTACATTCAGATTTTCCCCAGGGAGCTTGAGAGACAGGCACAAACAGCAGCTAAAAATACTCCTCCCTTTTCACGGGAGCAAGGTGCCCCTTGGCTGGTTATTTTAACACTCCAGGAAACAGGGTCCCTGGTGGGACCCACACCTGCTGGAAGGGCCATAATGAAGTGTTTGTGGGGAGCTTGACCTTGTCAAGAGGAAAATAATTCTTTTCCAAGCTGTGAGGTTTTTACATTTTGTTTGCTTAACGTGAAAATAACTTCCCTGACCTTACTTTTCACTGAGCTGGGAGTGCCAGGTTCTGCACAGCCAGAGGGGAGCTCTGCAGACACCTCAAATTAAACAAAGAATACCTCTCTGTCACAGAGCAGGTCATTTATCCCTGTTTCCAGCGGTGGGTTTGGATAAAACCAGGCTGCTGGCACCTCTGGCTGCCCTTCTTGCAGCTGCAGTAGCAGGTGGGTGAGAGCAGGGGAGCTGCCTTTGTTATCCTTTCCTGCAAAGCCAGTCAGTCATACCTGATTTATCCACCTCTGTAGGGGGAAATGGGGGATTTTCCCAGCTCAGGGTCAGGTTAGGGATGCTCTTCCTAATGCAAAGTGTGTGGGAGCTTCATCCTCCTTCCCCACAAGCCTGTCTGCCTCCTCCATTCCCCGTGAGGGTGGAAGTGATAGTGATACAAAATCACAGGATGGTTTGGGTTGAAGGACCTTAAACCTCATCCATTCCACCCCCCTGCCGTGGGCAGGGACACCTTCCACCAGCCCAGGTTGCTCCAAGCCCCCTCCAACCTTGTCTTGGCCACTTCCAAGGATGAGGCAGCCACAGCTTCTCTGGGAAAAAAATCTTCCAGACAGTTAAAAAATCCCGTTGCAAAAACGTCAGGTGCACCAGGAAACATCCAGAAAAATCCAAGTGTGGGGGCATTTTGCAAAGCTCAGTTTGTTTTTCCTTGGCAAGGATTCACAGTATCCTTGCAGGGCTTGAGCATCCCTGATGGTACAGCCAGCATCATTCCAGCATCATTCCAGCACCATCCACAGCAAGCAGGCAGGATCGCTGCTTCCCTTCATCCCAGATCTTTTTCAGGCAGCAAAAAAATATACCAGGGGGCAAACCAGTGTGGGGAGAGGAGTTCTCCTCCTTCAGGAGGGCTTTGCTCCATGTGCAGGGAGCAGTTGTGCCTGTGGTGGGTGCTGAGCCGGCACAGAAATCCCTCTTGCAAGGGTCACACTCCCACAGAGACATCCCAGACTGGAGAATTTGGGGGAATTTGGCTTTTTTTCTGGATGTACAGGCTGTTGACTCCCTGAAGTATAAACAGCTGGAAGCTGAGAAAGCCACAGTCGGTAACAGCTTGAATGTATTTTTGGAAAACGCTGCAGCTTCAGAGCAGAGAGGAGAGACCTTGTAACTAATTGAAAAGTGAAAGGGAGAGCTGGATTTTATCTGTGCATTTGAAAAATGTATTAAACCCTGAGTTCCAGCATTAAAAAAAAAAAAACAAAAACAAAAACAGGAAAGAGGTTTCATCACTTTTGCCCTCAAAAAGGGAACGTGGCCCTTGCAGCACAGGCACTTTGCCCTCTCTGGTGTTTAATTACCAGTCTGGGTTTCAGGACAGAAGAGATCATTTTAGCCCAAGAGCTGCCCATTTCTTTTCTGTCCATTAAGATCATTAATTGCTGTTGAATGAACTCATTTGTCCAGCTCAGATCCGTGCTGGGAGCTGCAGCAGAGCTGCTGCTGAGCCCGATGGGGGATGTCAGAACCGGGGCTGTTGGCTCTGCCTGGATAGACTCGGTGGTTTTCCATGAAAACCACACTCCTGCTGAAGCCCTTCTGCTGTTACACAAGCACAGTAGCACATCTAATCTAATTACTGCCCTCTGGTCCAGTGATTCCCCTAAAAGCCTGTGGAGCAGGGGATCCGAAGCACGTCCAAGAAATCCTCCTCTCCCTTGGCTTCCCGCTGGCTGAGGGGGGAAGGATGCCATGGGATGCTGGACACTTGCCTCTGGCAGGCTGTCATCTAGTGAGGCTACAGAGGACCTTGGATGCTCCAAGCCCTCCGTAGGTGGGCAGGCCCTGGCACAGGTTGCCCAGAGAAGCTGTGGCTACCCCTGGATCCCTGTCCAAGGCCAGGTTGGACGGGGCTTGGAGCAACTTGGAACAGTGGGATGTGTCCCTGCCCATGGCAGGGGGTGGCACTGGCTGATCTTCCATGATCCTGTGATAGTGGCGTGATTCAGTGTGGCTAAAAGAAATTAAAAGCACCGAAGGAGGAGGAGCTGCTTGAATCCAGAGGAACTTTCCAGGAGCAGAAGAGGAATTAAAAGGGGTCTGGGAGAGGTCAGGGGCCAGTGGCTGCTCCCTGTTCCTGCCAGTTCATCCCTGCTCCAGGTGGCTCTGGGACACAGAACCACGGAATCACAGAATTGTTTAGGTTGGAAAAGCCCTCAGAGACCATCCAGTCCAACCACTAACCCATGTCCCCAAGTGTCACATTCCCAAGGCTGTTAAATCCCTCTGGGAATGGGGCCTCCCCCCTGCCCTGGGCAGCCTCTGGGAGGTCTCAGATCCTCCTCTTGCCTGGATTTGTTCCCTCTTACAATTGCTGCCTCTTTTCTTGTTGTGAGAGGGGCAGAGGCACCTGCACAGCAGGTTGTTGCACGTAGAGGCACAGGGGACCTGCTCATCCTCCTCCCAAAACTGGTGTCCAGACCTGTGCTGGATGGAGATCCAGGTGTGTCACCCCTTGGGTTCTTACGGCACAATCAGAGGCAAAAAAAAAAAAGAACCTCTGGGGAGGAAACCCCATCTCCCTAAGGGTATCCACCTTTCCCACTGCAAAGGTTTACACCTCCTGGATTTCCACATTCCTGGGAGCTGAGCACAGAGTGTGCTGTACCTGGGTGGTGCCACAGCTTGGCGTCGATGAAGTGTGATCCACTGCTGCTGGGAAAGGTGGGGAAGCTCCGTGCCCCTGGAACGTGGACATAGGGATGCTTTCAGCCCCACTGGAATCCTCACAGCGTGGACACGGACAAGCCCAGGAACGCTGCAAACTCCATCTGCAAGAAGCGTGACCTGGTGGTGCCTGCCAAGGATTTGGGAGAGGAGAAGCGAGTTCAGGGGAAACCCTGGCACGGTGTGTGCAGTGACAGCCTGTCCCTCTGCCCCCAGGTGGTGAGCGGGAAGGAGGCTGACAGCAAGAAGAGGGAGGACATGCTCAGCCAGCTCAGGGCGAGGCCAGAGCACACTCAGAACCTGTCCCTGGGCGAGTTCATCAAACGTAAGTGCGAGGATTCCCCCGTCCCACACGGGCAGGGCTCCTCTGCTGGCACAGAGGGTGAACGCTGGGATGTGCCGTGGGCTGCAAAGCTGGTGGGAAGGAGGGATGTTCCTCCCTGTGCTCAGCCCACCTCCTTGGGAACCCCTCAAAATGCAACTGCTGGGTTGCCTGGAAGTGTCCAAGGCCAGGTTGGATGGGGCTTGGAGAAATCTGGGATAGTGGAGGGTGTCCCTGCCCATGGCAGATGGGCTGGAACAAAATTATCTTTAAGGTCCCTTCCAGATCCAACCCTTCTGTGGGTCTGGCAACTCTTCATCCTCAAAAAAACTCTCTCCAGACCCCCCCTCATAAGGGCTGGTGACAGCATCCAAGCCAGGCTGACCTCCTGTCCCACCCAGGGTGGCTGGCACTGCTCAGAGACAGGGGTTGGGCAGCTAAAATCAGAAGGGTGGTTTGCATCCAGTAATCCTTTCATTACTTATTATTTTTTTTATTATATTATTTATATTTATTATTAATTCTTATAAATTAACTTATTAATTCTTATAAATTAACTTACTTGGAAGTGAGTGAGCTCTTTGTGCTGAAGGGCTTTAGTCTGGGAAGGCAACTGCTAAAGGTTGGGTTGGGTTTTTTTTGAAGGAAATACTCTGCACTTGGGCAATTACTTATAAAAAGTGGCCTTCTGAAGTCAGTCCCTGTCAGCTTCCTCCATATTTCCTGAATGTTGTCCCTCTAATTTATTGGAAATTGTCTGCATTCTGAAGGTCAGTGCAGGGCAGGCACAGCCCAGATGAGCCTGGGCAGACTTTTACTCTGGCCTGATGCTCAATTAGGGGAGTCAGGCAGGGGGTTATTCCCCCCCTGACCTTGGGGCACTGTCATTTAGAAAAAAAACCCTGTGCTTTGGAAGCAATTGCACGGGAACAGATTTACAGCGCTGGGGTGGGACTTTCACACTGCCACTTTGCCTCCGAAACATGAATAAAAATGAGCTCCCTGCTGCTGGGTGGAGAGAAGAAGGAGATATCTCACCTCTGCTGGAGCTGCAGGTTTGGCTCGGGGCTTGTATCAGAGTTGCTGTGTCAGGGTTGTGCTAAAAATTCATCATTTCTGAGAATTCATCCCCTCAAACCCAGTTCTGAAAGAAACGAAGTGTCTGTTTTCTGTCAGGAGAGAGCAATGTCGCTGAAATCACCAGGATCTCTGATACAAAACTCTTTTTTAGAGCCAGAAACTGAGTGGTGGGGAGTGTGTGGTACTGAGATGGGGAAAGTTTGGGTGTAGTGTAAAGATTTTTCCTTCCCATTTTGTCACTCTCCTGCTTGTTTTTTTTCTTCTCTCTCTATTTTATTTACTTATTTATTTATTTTTAAATTACAAGATGATTTGTGAAAACAACACTGGGAGATTTTCCAGCCTGTTTCACCTTGGAAGTATCCAAGGCCAGGCTGGAGCAACCTGGGATAGTGGAAGGTGTCCCTTCCCATGGCAGGGGGGGTGGAATGGGGTGATCTTTATGGTCTCTTCCAACCCTGCTCCTCATACTCACAAGGTGCTCCTTTTGCAGGCGTTGGGTCTGCTCATAGAAATGAAAAAAAAAAAACTAGGATTTAGGCAGCCTGGAGTGATTTCCATTGCTAATTTCCAGGCTTCTGTTGAAAACACCCTGGGGGATGTGCAGATTCTGTTGCACACACTGGGAATTAATCCATTAAAGGTGATCTTCGGAGCATTTAGGACACTGTGCTTGTGACTTGTTTGTTACTCTTGTGGTCCCTGCAGACAGTTTCAAAGATAGTTTTTGATTGTTATTGTACAGTTTCCACTCGCTTTTAATATCTGCCCAGCTTCCTCCCTGGAGCTGGGAGGGAGATCCAGTCATTCATGAGGAGGTGATTGCAGAGTACAGAAATCCTCCTGTGACCTGTTCAGTGTTGTGCTTCTTTTCAGCTCTGATCCGGGGTGGCAGAGGGGGCATTGTTTGACTCAAAAGACCAAAAACTCCGAGGAAAAGAGCTTTTTGGTGGAAGATTCCCACCAGCTTCCAGAAGAGGCTGGATTAGCTCTCGGGAGGTCTCAGCTGAGGTTTCATGTTTGCAATATGGCAGGAATATGCTTCAGAAATCAGGATTTTAGTGATACTTAGGAGCAAAACCACCTCCCCTCTTGGGTTCACGTTGGTCTCACACAGCTCATTCCCTCTCCAGCTGCCTGCTGCCCTCCCAGCTCTCCAGTGGGTCAGTGTTTCAGGGTCCTTGACCACTTCTTGCACTCTTGGACCCTCTCTAATGACCTGCTTTTGCTACTCCCCAACGTTTTTGGCTGCTTGCCTGACCCTGAGAGCAGAGTGCTGAGCTGGAGAGGCAACACTCCCACGGACTGGAGCTTTGCCTTTGGATTTGGAGGACCCTGCTGCATCCACAGGGGTTCCTTTTGCTCTTCACATGACACTTAGGAGAACTAAAACAAACATTCAGCTTGGGGCATCTCCCAGATGAGCACCCCTCCCAGAGCTGCTGCGCTGGAGCAGATAGAAAGATTGTCCCAGTTTGGGAGCTGCTAAGAGTTAACACCATTAATTTGTGGCAGGTCCTTGCATTAATCCTCCCTGTTAATTCCTTATCTCTGCTCCAGCATATTGGCTTTCCGAGCCCTCATCTGGGAAACTCGTCATCCGTTTTTGTCTGGAAGTTGCCCTTTGCAAAGCCAGACAGGGATCACAGGGAGGGGGGGAAGGCAACGGCTCAGGGGGGGCAACCAGCAGGAGAGAAAGTGGGTTTGGGGTGTCACAAAGGAGAAATCACTCCAGGATGGACAATTCCAGCCTCCCAGCTGGAGGATGTCAGCACTGGGCACCCTGATTCCCCCCACGCAGGGTGGCTGCCTTTGCTAAGCAGGCTGAAGATCCCTCTTTCTCCAGGGTTCAGCCACGGGGGAATTTGCTGGAGCGTTTCTTGCCTGTAAACAAAGAAAAATTGCATTTTTTTTAATGATTGAAACAAAAAGGACATTGAAATTGCAACCGCAGCAAACAAATAAATTAACTTTTAATGACTTCCCATCTCCTCTTTGTGTTTGCTTTAGCAGAAGCTCTGCCAGAAAGCTCCAGGGAAAGGGCTGGAAGGAGACGAGCTTTACACTCCCTTCCCCCCACCCCGAGCCTTTCTGTGATTCTAGGATTAATATTTTGCTGTACCCCTGCTCTGTGTGCAACAGGTTTGCCCTTCTCCTTTCAGGTTTTCCTCTGGTGCTGCTGAGGAATCTGCGTCACCCCGTTTACCTGCTGGTGGTGTTGGCTCAGGTCAACATCTCTGCCATGGTTGCTGGTTTAGCCACGTTCATGGGCAAGTTCCTGGAGAGGCAGTTCTCCCTCACAGCCTCCGTTGCCAACATGGTCATTGGTAAGTGTTGCTGAGCACTCCTTAAAAAAAAAAAGAAAAGAGTTGGGAATGACAGAGGATTCCTCTGGAGCCGCTGGTCTCCTTCCATGACCTGCAGCACAAGGTTCTTACCCAGCTCCTATCTGCTTGCTTTCCTTCCTTGCCACTGCAGCCTGAGCTTGCTGGGATATTTTAAGACCTGGAGAAATGTCTGTTGTCTAAAGCTGTTCTCTGTAATCAAGGAGAGGGAAGGAACTCAGTGCATCGAGGGAGCAGGGAAACATCAGCTGTGAATTCTGCGTGTTCTGTATCAGCAATTACTCCACATCCATCGCTGGGTTAACGACCTGAAGTGTGCAACAAATAAATCAGAATAAAGTGGGCAGAGCAGGCTGGCAAAGCCCACCAGCCTGGGCTTGACACAGGCAGAAAGGTTAAAAGCTGAAGCAGTTTTGTCCTGCCCAGCTGAGCTGTTCCCAGCCTGGATTTACCTTCTCCATAATTCACGGATGAACTTCCCTCCCCTTTGTTCCCACCACTGAATCTTGCCTTCTGGTAGATCAAAAAGCTTTCTGTGGCTGAAAATTCCTTCCTTGCAGGGTATTTATGGGCTGAAAGCAGCCTCCCCGTTGGTTCTCTGCTGAATTAAAAGAGTTTGCACTTCTGGAGCTGAACTTTGGGCTCCCCATAATAAAAATGGGGTTTGCAGAACAGCAAGTCTGTGGTGGAAACCTTCACGGTTTTACAAGGGCGACAATCCTGCACTGTGTGAAAATTAAACACCCTCTTCAGGTTTGCTTGGTGTTTCCTCCTGTCTGCAGGGAAAAGTCACAGTTTCTGGGTGAAGCACAGCTTCCCACTGCTCCCTACATCTCCCATCCATGGGTGCATGAGGCAGCCAGTTTGCTGTGGGATCCTGATGGGTTTGAAAAGCAGCTTTTTCGTAGCGTTATTCCACCAGTCCTTGCAAAAACCTTGGTCCCTCCTGGGTCTTTTGTGCTGAAAAATAGAACTCAGCAGCCAAATCTTCTGGGCCTTTGCTGTATGAAGGGACTGAGATGGCTCAGGGGATGGAAAACAACATATGATGATAGGACAAGGGGGAAAGGCTTTAGATGGGGTATTGGGAAGGAATTCTTGGCTGGGAGGGTGGGCAAGCCCTGGCACAGGTTGCCCAGAGAAGCTGTGGCTGCCCCTGGATCCCTGGAAGTGCCCAAGGCCAGGTTGGAGCACCCCGGGCTAGTGGGAGGTGTTCCTGCCCATGGCAGGGGTTCGGAACAAGATGATTTTTAATGTCCCTCCCGCTCCAAACTGTCCTGTGACTCCATGACTCCATGAGCTGCCTCTCCCCAGGTGCCGTGAACATCCCGGGGGCGATGGTGGGGATCGTGGTGGGCGGTGCCATCCTGAAGCGGTTCCAGATGTCCCTGGGGCGATGCAGTGCCATGTGTGTCCTGGGCATGTTCCTGTGCCTGCTGGTGGCCTTTCCCCTCCTCTTCCTCGGTTGCCCCACGCAGAAGGTGGCAGGAGTCACCTACAGCCACAGGTACCGACAGCTCCAGCAGGGCTGGGCACGGGCAGCTCGTTCCCAGGGCTGTGGGAACACCCCAATCCAGGTGCATTCCTCAGAGGGGAGGTGTGAGTTAAGCAGAATGCCCAGAAATAGGGTTTATTCCCTCGGGAGAAATACTTGATGGTGATTAAAAAAGTCTGGAAATTATTGTGGATAAACACCGAACCCGCTGCGCCCCCAGGTTTAGGGCAGAGTGTATATTTTTAATTTATCCCATGCATGGGGTCATTTGAGCTTTATCTCCTTAGAATTAAAACCTTTTTAACATAAAGGTTTTTAGGAGCAGGGTTGTAAGAGTCCAGCTGGTGGGATTTCCCCCTCAAGAGCAAGTGCAGTGTGGAACCCCAGGTAAACACATTTTTGGCACAAACAGCACAAGATTAAAATTCCATCTTGGAAAGCACGGTACATTAGGCACCCGTGAATAATCTGGGCAGGGGCCAGCCCTGGGATCACACCTTCAGAGCTGTGGCAGCTTCCCTGTGCAGCTACAACGTGGGCAGGAGCTTCTTGTCTTCCCTCAAGGCTTGATCCGAGTTTCTGTGACTCCACATGCTCAGTGTCACGTGGTTTCGGTGGAACCCGGTCCTGGCCCTCGGTGGGAAGCTCAGAATGTTGCAAGTACCCCAAACCCCCACATCTGGGCCCAAATATGAAGGGAGTGTGTGACTGCCTTGACTATTTGTGGTCAGGATGCTTTGCCCAGGCAGAGCAAAACCTGGGCGGGGGGGGGTTCGAGTGGAATTTCCTCACTCTCTTCTTTGGAAGGTTTGGTTGAGCAACCAAGCGGTTTTTCACTCATCTCAGTGCACACGTGGTATATTTCCTGTCCAAGGTGTGTGTCAGTGATGCTCAGTGCTCTGCATTAATATTTCCTCCCCGCTGCAGCTCCGAATTTGGGCACCACGAGCTGGAGTGCAACCTGCAGTGCAGCTGCCCCGAGCAGGCCTATAACCCCATCTGTGGCTCCAACTCCATCGAGTACATCTCCCCTTGCTCTGCTGGCTGCAGGGCTGTGAACATCCAGGAGGACACCAACTCAGTGCTGGTGAGTCATTCCCACTCATCCCACTGCGGGATGGCTGATGAGGGATGACCAATGCACCAGCAGTTGTTGTGCTGGACAAGCTCTGCGTGATCCACGTGGAATGAGCAGAGACAGAGATGTTTGGCCAAAACACCAAGCAGAAACCTCTTAGCCATCCAATATTTTAGGTGTCCTTCCCCCCTCACCTGACCCCCCAGGGCAGGTTTTGCTTCCCAAACCCTGGCTTCCTTCCTTGAGTGGGACTTTTTCCATGGAAGACGCAAAGACCTTCCGCTTTCCCCCCTCCCCTCACCCCCAAATGGTCACCAGGAAGGTCACCTTCCTGAGCTGTGTTTGCTGGGGTGAGACAGGAGCATGTGCAGGATGGGAAGGCCAAGCAGAGCACCCTGCATGATCCCAGGTCTGTGCAAACCCCTTGTACTGCTGTGATTTCCCCCATCCTTGAATAGGCACCTCCCAAAACCAGGATCCCAGTGTAGGCACCACATACCTGAAGTTCCCTTGGATGGAATCCATGAGCTTCCTCTTTCTTTTCTGGGGTTATGAAGGGAAAACATCCAGACAGGAGGTGCCCATTTTCACATACCTGGGTGTCTTGCACTGGGTGTCACCCAAACTGCTCTCCCAAGAGGATTTGCCTCAGGGAGCAGCTCTGAGTGATTTGAATGCCTTGAAAATCATTAGCAATCCATACAGGATGAGTCGTTTCCCTGCTGTGTTCTTGGCACAGGATATAATGGCAGCATGGGACTGTCTGGGCCGTTTGCAGCAGCATTTTGTTAATTAACAGCTCTTCATTTTAATAACAATTATGTTTTCTGCCAGAGCTTAGTCCCAGATGTGTTTTTCTGCATCCCTGGGCCTGCCTTTTTGTGCAGCAGATCCTTTTCAGCTGCTTTTTTTTCCTGCTCAGAGATGCCTCCAGCCCTTTGACATCCTCTTCTCCTCAGTGTGTCCCACTCCTGCATCCATTATTCCTGTAATTATGTGTAGCCACAGGCTACAGCAAAACCAGGGCTCCCCTGATGGTGCCAAGCCAACACTACTTGGCAAAGCCACCATCAGCTCTTCCTTTCGGGTGTTACCTGTTGAATGAAAGGAAAAAAAGAGATTATTGCATTGATGTGGCACTCTTCCAGCCCCTGTTTTGTTGGAAATTTTACACTCTTCTTCCCCTTTGCAGCCAGAATTCAGAGTCCAACAGGGCCCCAGCTGGGACCTCAAGAAAGCCATTTCTAAATGGTGCTTTGGTGATGTTTGACCCTGAAGAACCCTGGGCTGGCCGTGCGCCAGAAGCCACAGCCCCGGTTTGGAGGCTGCTCTGGGTTGTTCTCCTCTCCCCAGGTGGTTTTTTTTTCCCCAGCCCTGGTGTTGCATCAGCCTGGTGGCACTGCTGCCCAGACAGTGACATCTCCCAGGGACAGAACCCCCCCAGAGGCTCTGTGGTTCGTGCCCTCTGCTCAGAGGGTTCTGCAGCTGGAGTCATGCTCCCTGCTCTCCAGTCCTCTGGGCTTTTGGAATGCAAGGGGCAGAGACTTCATCTCCAGCCCTGTCTGCGCTTGGCTTCGTGAGAGTCCCTCCGTGTGGTGACCCTGATTCTCTGCAAAAGGTGGTGGTGACACAGGTGGAGCGAGTTTTGATTTATCTGACTGCTTTTTTTTGGTCACTGCTTGGGCCCAAATTCACCCCAGCTCTTCCTTGCCTGTGGGGGGTCCTCATCCTCTGTGGTTGCAGAAGGAGCCCGAAGGATGAGTTTGGTTTAGTCCTTTTCAGGTGGCCGAAGAAGATAAATCCCAGTGTTCATGTCAAATATCAAATCCTCCTGGCCAGAGGTGGGAGGAGGGATTGTGTCCCCTTTCATCCTTGTGTCTCCTTTTCATCCTAATTCTCCCCCCATGCTCTCAGCCAGGAGCAGTTCCCTGTGGTCACAAAGCCATGCTGCAGGAACAGGGTTCTGGGGGGACTCTGAGTTGCTCCTGCCTCTGGGATCACCCCTCTCTGCAAACTGCCACCCCTTCGTGAAACTGTGCCCCTTCTGGCAACCAAAAGATCATGCTCTTTTTATTTAAAAGTCTCTTCTAAAAATGAAAGGAAAAAAAAAAAAAAAAAGGAGATAATTGGAACTAAAAAACGGAGAAAAGTTAAAAAATCCTCATCCATCACCTCGAGGCATCTTCCCTTTGCTGAGGCTCTGCCGGTTATTTATGACCCTCTCTCAAAGGTGAGGTTTTATATTTTCCCCTTGTAAGTGTTTTCTGATTTAAGGCTCCCCTGAGCTCGGGCTCTGGCTTCGGCTGCAGCTCTGCCCTGCACACAGACCCTGGGTGAAGGGTCTCCCAGCAGGACACAACCTGTGCCAGGGCCTCTGCACCCTCACAGCCAACAATTCCCTCCCAGTATCCCACCTGACCCTGCCCTCTGGCAGTGGGAAGCCATTCCCACCCCTCATCCCAAGCCCCTCTCCAGTTCTCCTGGAGCCCCTTTGGGCACTGGCAGAGACTCTGAGGTGCTAATTAGTTACAGACACCCTCAGCACGGCAGCTGGCAGCTCTCCCTTCTCCCTTCAGCTGAGCAGCCCGTGGGTTTTCTCTCCCCTCTCCAGAACTACACCGACTGCAGCTGCATCTCCGAGAACGGAGGGTTCGCCACTCCCGGCACCTGCAGCACCGGCTGCTCCCACCTCTTCCTGCCCTTCGTGGTCCTGTCCTGCCTGGCAGGGATCCTGGCCAGCACATCCCACACCCCGTCCTTCATGCTCATCCTCAGGTGAGCAGCTGGCTCGGGCAAGGTCTGGGTGCAGCCACCCAGACCTCCTGAGGTGATTTTTTTGGGGGGGTCCTGGGGTTGAGGGGGAAGGTTTTCTCCAGCTGGGGGTTAAACCAGCCCTATATTACACCATCAGCTCAGCATTAATTCAGCACAGCAGTCCTCTGGCTCTTTTTTATGCAGCCCAGTATTGAGTTAAGAGGTTTAATTACCTCCCTTTGCTGGAATACAGCCTCCCTTCCCAGGGCAGAGAGGCAATTAGGACTCCAGCTCCCCATCCCCTTGGAAAGGTACCTATGGGGCAGCAGCAACAGCCTAAACATGAGACCCAGACTGGTGGGGCTGGACCCCAGGATGGGCCAAGCCCAGGAATGTGCTGGAGGAGAGGGGAAAACCGTGGAGGGATCCTTGTGTTAGCCCATAAATGATGTTTCCAAGCACATTTCTGTGGTTGAAACATTCCAAACAGTTGCTTTTTAGGGAAAAGATGCAGTTAAAAAAAAAATAAATCTGTTTTTACTTTGACTCCCAGAGCTGTGAGTGCTCTGGGCAGTCAGAGGGGAAAGGGGAGCTCAGTCCCCTGAGGGTGATGACCTGGAGGTTGCTCTGCCACCCAGCCCTCTCCTGTGTGTGAGCAGCAGGAGCCACAGCCTGGAATATTGATTCCAGAAAGCTGGGCTACCACTAAAATAGACACTGGGGCTTCCCACCCTAAAACCAGCCACTTCCTCAACGTGCAAATCCCTTGTTAGGCTGCAAAAAGCATCCCTTGTGTTAGCTTGTGTTTTACTCACAGGGATTCTTTAAATGAAAAGCAAAAATACTTCAACTGAGCTCCTCCTCATCTTTTAGGGAGGATTTTTCGGGCCAAGGAAAAGCTGTGGTCAGTCTGTGGCCCCAGTGAACGAAACCTCATCATCTCTGCTGACCTAAATGACAGCTCCCTGGGGGTCCTTGGGGGTTGGGATGAAGGACAACTTTTTGGGTGAGGTGCTGTGCCAGGGGGGCAAATTTTCCCTTCTTCTTTTTTTTCAGGAGCATCCAGCCTGAGGACAAATCCTTTGCTGTTGGGATACAGTTCATGCTGCTGAGAGTTTTGGGTAAAATAAAAATTCGTTAAAATCCCATCTTGGAGGTCTGTAGGGATGATGCAGCAGTGTATTCAGATTAATCAAGGCCTGTCCTAAGCCAGAGAAAGATGCTGCATTGCAGGGTCTTGGGGGTCTGCACATGGGGAGGGGACAAGGCACCTCCATGGGGGTAAATCACTTAATTTAATAAAATGGGGCATAAATGCTCAGGGCATGAAGGAGGAAAGCACTGGGATAAGTTTCTCAGGGAGGTGGTGGAGCCACAGTCTCTGGGAGTGCCCAAGAGGTGCCTGGATGTGATTTAGGGGTGGTTATGGTGGTGCTGTGTTGCTGGTTGGACTTGGGAGATCTTGAAGGTCTCCTCCAGCCTCGATGATCCTGGGATTCCCGGGATGAGCAAAGAGAAAGAAGAGCTTCCATCTCGACAGGGAGCAAGCACTTCCCAGCCCTTTTAGCACCCAGGGGAGCCACCAGGCCTGGCTGTGTGCCAGCAGAGGGGCTCCCTGGGCATAACCGAGCCCCCTGTGCTTCCAGCGTGGATGCCGGGGCCCGTCCTGTACGGCAGCGCCATCGACACCACCTGCATCCTGTGGGAGAAGAGGTGTGACAGGAAGGCAGCCTGCAGATACTACGACAACACCCTCTTCAGGCAAAGGTAGGGGTGGCCCAGCAGCAGGAATGCTGGGGGTGCAGAGGGAAACCCAAGGTGGGGAGCGTGGCACCCACCTCTGACACGGGGTGAATTGCTGGGAAACAATCGGGGGCACTCACAACTCCACGGACAGGATAACCCCCAGCAGGGCCCAGGAATGGGTTGGAAAACCGCTGGCACAGGCCCAAACCCTGCCAAGGGCTGTGCAGAATTGCTGATGTAGACCACAGAGCTCCAGTTCCAGGAAAGCCCCTGCAATCCCTCGCTGGAACAACCTCCCTGGGGACAGAGTGCTCCTCACTGGAGGCTTTCGAGATGAGAGTGTAAAAAGCTCTAGATAATCTCCCCCCAGCCCCAAACCTGCCTGTGAGGTGCTGCAGGGGCTCTGGGGACACTGGGTGTTGGTGCCCTGGGGCTCATCTTCCAATAAGGCACCCCAGCTCGACACACAAGACACACCAAATGCAGCCCGTGCACGGTGAGGAGGCTGGGAAGGAGCTCCAGGTGATGCTATTCCATCCCCATGGGGGATTCATCATGGAATGGCCCTCTGACCATTAGCTGTGTCAAGTCCTTTCCACCCTCCAGCCCCAGGCAGCGCCCTGGCCACCCTGACTTGTTGTGTTTCCACACCGCAGGTACCTCGGCCTCCAGTTTTTCTTCGAGGTGGGAGCTTTCCTGTGCTTCGTGGCCGTGTACGTGATCCTCAGGAGGCAGGAGAGGGAAGCCAGCAAGGCACCAGAGACAAAGGCAGACCCAGAGAAGGAGAAACTGGCGGGAAAGCCCACAAAGACCCCGGAATCCAAAGTGTGACACCCAGAAGGTGAATCGTGATCTGTTGCCCCGGGGGAGGTGAAGCCACCTGTGGGTGAAGCCACCCACATCTCAACTGGGAAAGGTGGATGGTGGTGGACTGTGGGGCCGCTTCCCGATCTTCTGGGTGGGAATAACTCCTCCTGCACCGCCCTGGGAGCCCGTCCATCCGGTGCTCTGCCTCTTCCACCTTGGTGGTGCAGCTTGTTCCTTCACACGGGTTGTTCCACACAGCATGACAGCCTTTGGATGCTGCAGCCTTCGGGATTTATGTCCTCCAAAGCATTTGTTCCTGCTGACAGGAGACTGGTGAGGCCAGCACTGAGCATTAACCACACAGCTGAAGGGTTTTTTGTGTAGAGGGGATGTGTGTTTTGGGTTTTTTTTAATAGCAATAAATCATTTTTAAGAAATGGTTTTGTACCAAACCCGTAGATCTCTGTGAGTGATGGTCTGTCCTTGCCAATGAAATGTCAGCTGTGCTTATTGCCTTTCCTCTCAGGGTGTTAGATGGTCTCTCTTCCTTTGAAGGCTTCATCCAGCTCCACCTGACATTGCTGGGGTTTGTGTCACTGGCTGTGGGCCTTTCCAAGGACCCACCCACACATCTGCTGAAGCTTTGGTGGTGAGGGGCAGGGATGAGGATCCTGGGGAGGGGAGGACACCAGAAGGAACTGGAGAAACTGCAGTACCTGCAGGCTTGTGGCGCTTTGGCAGTGGGGCCACATTTTGCAATAACATCAACAATAATAATAATAACTCTTATTTTTGAGTTATCAGTACTTATTTTCTGATTCTCAGTGCTTATCACAGGAGGTTACTGAAGCACCTGAGTGTTCTGTCTCCTTTCTGGTTCGTACCTTGACAAAGGCAGGACCTTTCCCCGGGATGCAGGGTCAGAGAGGGAGGTTGAAGCCATCCCTGTCCAGACTGGGCAGAGCTCTGAGTTGAGCACAAGACCCACCAGCCTTGTGCTCCTTGAAGGAGTTTCTGTCTGTAATGATGGGGTGGTAGTTGAGTCTGGGGTTATTTTGGTGCAGCTGCCTCTATTTTCTGCACTTATCCCATCCTGAGGCTCCTTTCCCCTCAAGCCCAGATTGTGTTGCTGCTCTCCTACCACCAGTGTGCAACCACAGACCACCAGGGAACTTGTCATTTTTGGCTGCAGAATGGAATTCAGTGGAGGAAACCAGACTTCTAAGTTCAACCTAAATACGCAGAAGAGAAATACACAGTGGAGAAAATTCATTAACTCCTCCCACCCTGGCAAATAGTCCTCTGGTGAGGGCCAGGGTATGCAGGGAAGAGCTGTGGGGGAGGATGGAAAACCTGTAAGTGGCCGGTTTAGATATTTCTAAATACCTACCAGGCTCTTAGCCCAGCCATTTTGAGAGACCCAACTGTACCACAGTGCAGACTGAGAGATTAATTTGAACTTTTTAGGGTCTTGGGGTTTTTTTTTCCCCCTATTTTTGTGCAGTGCTTTTTGTTTGTGGAGATGGTTGAGAGAGCCTACAGCCCTGTTCACAGGTATCAACTCAGAACTGACTTCTGGCTTCAAAGAAGCTTCTAGAAGGCAGATTAGTGAATGCTGAAGAGATGGGGGTGGACCCATTCAGAGAAGAACAAGTAGTATATGCTGGCCATGACTCCCCAAACCTGCTGGAGTTCTGCACTGTTTTCAATTTTCAAGGCAGAATCTGTTGCTAAACCAGACAGGAGTGGAATAAGAATGAGGTTCTTCAGACAAGGGTAGGGAAGAGACAGTCCAAGATGCTCTCAGGGGTCACTCCAGGTCTTGGCAGCCCAGGAATTTGAGGCATCCTTGCTGCATCCTGTGGAGAAGAAGGTTCTTTCCCAGCTCAGCTCACAGCCGGTTTCCTGCCTTGCTCTGCACGATCCCAAGTCGCTCCCAGGTACTTCCCAAACCACAACAAATAAATAACAACATGCTTTGTTTTGCATGGAGTGAGGAGTCAGGAGCTGCCACGTGCTTTGCCAGAAATTTGCTTCTTGGCCCAGAGAAGCTGTGGCTGCCCCTGCCCTGGGAGTGTCCAAGGCCAGGTTGGACGGGGCTTGGAGCAACCTGGGAGAGTGGAAGATGTCCCTGCCCATGGCAGGGGGTGGCACTGGATGAGCTTTCACTCCGAGAAAGGCCTGGGAGTTCTCCCTGCTGGGCTTGGGGATCCACTATCATGTTCCACTTGGAAAACCCCTATCCCATCCTATGAAGGTTTTTTGCTCGGGCAATGCACAAAGTGGCACAGCCTGAATTCTCCCTTTCCTGGTTGCCCCTCCACTAGAGGAGAGATCCCTGTGGATAAGCATCCCAGGTATTTGCACACAGCGTGTCTTAGCTTTGTGGTCAGCTGTGGGCCTGTTATTGTGCCTTTGCTCTGGTACTTCCCATCAATTTGGGCTGGAGTTTCCATCAAGAGGAACAAACCCATTTTCCCCTTCCCCTCCCCTGTGCTGTTCGAGAACGCTGTTGAAAGGGACTGACTTGGCAGAGAAGATTAAAAGGAGGCAGTTTGGAAAGGCTGGGAGGGAGATAAAACCCAGGGAGCATGAAAAGGTTGTCAGCACCCAGGGAGCAGGAGGAGGAGGAGGAGTGTTTGATGGGGAGCAAGAGGCAGGCAGGCAGGAGGGCTGCAAGGGGAAGGAAGCAAAGGAAGGCGTAGCAGCAGCA